AACTCTCCTGAATATCGAAATCGCTTGTCCCTCGTTGCCTGCTCTCGACTCTACTGACGGTCACCCTTGATCCTCCGAGCTATCTCCACAACTGACCAAGAAGTCCCCATCTCTACATCTCGAGCCATGGTGGCCTGAATACCAGAGTGTAATTCGACGGTAAACCTCTGCACTCTCTCTGCATAGGTAGGTAGTATCATAAGTGCATGGCGAGAAAACTCAGAGAACCTCGCCTCATAGTCAGTCACTGATACCTGACCTTGCTGGAGCTTCTCGAACTAAAACCGCAACTCTTTCCTCTGAGAGGGTGGAATGTATTTGTCTAAGAAAAGGCGCGTGAACTGTTCCCAAGTCATGGGAGGAGAACCTGCTGGTCTGCCGAGAAGATGTGACTGCCACCACCTACGGGCCCTGCCCTCTAGCTCAAAAGTAGTGAAGTCTACCCCGTGGGACTCTAATATCCTCATATTGTGCAGTCTGTCCCTGCACCGATCAATAAAATCCTGGGGTCCTCATGTCGCTTACCTATGAAAGCAAGAGGATGAAGCCTGGTCCATTTATCTAATAGCTTGCACGGATCACCGGTCGCGGCTGGTATGGGCTCCAGTGTAGCTGCTGCAACTGGATAAGCTCCACCTACGGGTAGTGCACCCTGGATCTGATATACAGCAACTGCATGCCTATGAGCCTGCGTGGTAGGGGTCTGTGCTCCCCCTTCTGCCTAAGATGTGGTTGGGTCTGCCGAAAATAAATCAGCATGAGTCATAGTATCCATGAATCGCAGTATATGGCCCATGACCTTCTGGAATCCCGGTGCGGCCGTGAAATCCACCGGGATCGGCTCTACTGCGGGCACCTTGCCCTACTCCCAGACGATAGGATCCTCTACTGGATCCACTAGTGGCATAGCTGCAGCGACCCTAGGACGTCTCGTCCCCTACCATGGACTGGAGCCCTCCCCCGGCCTCTGCCTCGGCCTATAGCAACAGGGGAACAACTCTCACCTAGTTTGGAATATCCGTAGAGTACATTCTCACCATCTGTGAGAGAATAAGAGAAAGATATTTAGTATCACATCAATTGCACGATAGAAGATGAAGAAAGATAGTTTCCTAACACCCTATAGCCTCTCGAAGAGAAGTAAAGACGTTTCTGTACCGATCCGCATGACTTTATTAAGCGTGCTCATAACTTGTGAGACCTACGTGAATCTAGTGCTTTGATACTATGTTGTCACGATCCATTTTACTCGTACGTCGTGATGGTACCCAACGTCACCACTAGGCAAGCCATAAAGTAAAATAAACAAATTACCCTTCTTTTAAGTTTTGAGTAAAACAAAATTTTCATTAATTAAAATATTTAGGAGATAACAATTTTAAATAAATAAAGCGAAGGCTGCTGAGTGCAATCATAACCAAAATAATAGTTCAATACCACAAGTATACTAATGTGTGTGCCAAGACCTGATGTCACAAGTGTATGAGCATCTAGTAGATTATATAAAATTCTAGTTACTGTCTGAACATAAAATAGACTGAATAGAAATACAAAAGAGAGACTCTAGGGGCTGCAGAACGGCTCAGAAAGCAGCTCACCACTAGGCCTCGGGTTATCTGGGATACGTGCCAGTAGGACCGCCTAATGCACCTGTCTCAGATCATGCACAAAAAGTGCAGCAAGTGTAGCATGAGTACGTAAACAACGTGTACCCAGTAAGTATCAAGTCTAATCTCGAAGAAGTAGTGACGAGGGGTCGACTTCGACACTTACTATGGACCAATAATATTAAGATAGAAATCTTAAATAGACACAGATTATGTAAATAATAACAAATTTTCTTAACAAGCAGGAGCAAATAATTTTTCCACAATTTAATAATTTTCAATACATCATTTATCTTTACAAGTCGTAACATTCCAAGCCACAACAAAATATCGAAGCACCGAGTATTATTATTAAGAACGATTTATATCGAGGTCGTATGCCCTAATCTAGAATAATATGTACACTGCTGAGGGTCGAGCGACACGAACCATAGATGCATCTATCTACTACTGAGGCGTTCGACCCGCTCCACAAAAAGAGAAGGATACTTTATAAGCATTTGGCTTTGAACGTTATTAAGGATTAATACACAAAATAATACATAATTCGTTAGCGATCTTCCACAAAATCCTCTAACAAGTTCTAATATAAGTTAGGTACTTTAATTAACAAGTAGGGTGCAAACATCTCAATAGTTTCATGCTTTGGGTCCTAAAACTACCCGGACATATACGTACGTAGCCCCTCATAATTAGAAACAATCATTAATTTAAATCACATATGGGGTAAATTCCCTCTTACAAGGTTAGACAAGAGACTTATCTTATTTCAAAGCTCACTTCTCGGTCACAAATTCATGCTAAAGCCTCAAATTGGTGTTGAAAAATCCGAAACTAATCAAATGTTATATAATTTAATCAATACATGCTCAAAAATTCGTAATTTACTTATTAGATTAATTACCCAACCCAATTTGGAAAAAATTCTAAAATTCACCCCGGGCCCACGTGCCCGGATTTTGAAAACTTTCGGAGGAAATCATTACCCATAACCTTAAGAACTCAAGTATATAATTTTCATCCCATTCCATAACCATTTTAGTGGTTAAAATCTCATTTTTATCAAAATCTAGGTTTTTCATTTAAACCCACAATTTCCACTAATTTACATATTAAAATCTACCTATAATCTATGTATTTAACTTACATAGGTAGAATTTACTTACCTCCAAGTTGTTAGGTGAATACCCCCTCAAGAAGCTCCAAATTCCCTCAAGAATGAAGAAAATGGACTAAAAAATGGCCGAGCCCCGTTTTTAAAATATTCTGCCCAGCACAGTAGAATCCTTCTTCACGAACGCGGTAAGGGCCTCGCGTTCGCGAAGGCAAAATTTCCCAGGTCCTTAGAATGCCCTTTGCGAACGTATAAGGGGACTTGCGAACGTGAAGGCTTATTTGGCCTACCCTTCGCAAATGCGTAGGGTAAATGTGCTGACCTCTCCCAGGCCCCGTTCCTTCTATGCGAACGTGAGAAGGCCTTCGCGAACGTGTAGGTCTGGGATCCCCAAGCTTCGCGAATGCGACCCACTTCCCGCGAACGCAAGACTAACTGCCCAGCTCCAAAAATCCTTCATCGCGAACGCGAGAGTCCTTCCGCGTTCGCGAAGAAGGAAACTAAAACTGAAAAATCTGATTTTTCCAACTTAGCTCTGGGTAGTTCAAAACTCACCCGAGTCTCTCGGGACCCCGTCCAAATACACCAACAAATCCATAAACACAATACGGATATGCTCAAACTCTCGAAACGCGTAAAATAATAGCGAAACTAGAAATCGCACCTCAAAACCAAATTGAATCAACTTATGAATTTCAAGTTCTTCCATTTAGCTCTAACGCGCCCAATTATACCTAAACTACTCGAAATGACACCAAATTTTGCGTGCAAGTCTTAAATCACTATACGGAACTATTCCCAGGCTCAGAATTCCAAACGGACATCTATTACTCCAAAACCAACTCCAAACTAAATTTTGAAGAACTTAAACCTTCAAATAGCCAACTTCCACTATTAGGCACCAAGACGCTCCCGGATCGTCCAAAACCCGATTCGAATATACGACCAAGTCCATAATCATCATACGAACCTATTGGAACCATCAAATCCCGATTTCGAGGTCGTTTACTCAAAACATTGACCAAAGTCAAACTTAGCATTTTAAAGCCGAACTAAGGAACCAAGTGTTCCGATTTTAACCCGAACCCTTCCAAATCCCGAACTAATCATCCCCGCAAGTCATAGAATAGTAGAAGCACATATGGGGAGCTTTATTTAAGGAAACAGGGTTCTAGAAGGCAAAACGACCGGTTGGATCGTTACACAATGTCTCTAGGTCTCAAATTGATTTTTAATAGGCGGGTAAAGTTGATGGGTGACCTTTTTTTTTTTTTTTTTTTTTTT